GCCAGCCACCCCACCCAGATGCGGGCGCGCGGGGAGCCGGGCCGGGCCGGCGCGCCCGCCTTCCTCGGCTCCATCTTCTCCCGCATTGCCATGGGCCCCATCTGCGACCTTGTGGGGCCGCGCATCGCCATTGCCACCCTCTCCCTCATCACCGCCCCCGTCATCCTCTCCACCTCCCTCATCTCCTCCCCGCACTCCTTCATTGCCATCCGCTTCCTCACTGGCTTTTCGCTCGCCAACTTCGTCGCCAACCAGTTCTGGATGAGCTGCATGTTCTCCAGCTGCGTCGTCGGCCTCGCCAACGGCTTCTCCGCCGGCTGGGCCAACATGGGATCCGGCGTCACCCAGTTGGTCATGCCCCTCATTTATACTCTCATCATGTCCTTCAACGTACCGTCCTCCACAGCTTGGAGGCTTGCATTTATTGTGCCCGCAGTGTTCCAAGCTGTCACAGCCTTATTGGTCCTGGCTTTCGGGCAAGACGTACCTTCTGGGAGCTACAGAAGCTTGAAGAAGGTTAATATTGGCAAAGAGAGCTTGTGCAATGTTTTCTGTCACGGGGCCAAGAATTACCGAGCTTGGATTTTGGCTTTGACTTATGGGTTCTGTTTTGGGGTGGAGATGACGACTGATAATATAATAGCTGAGTATTTCTACGACAGGTTTGATGTGAATATTCAAGTGGCAGGGATCATTGCGGGGAGCTTTGGGATGGCAAATTTCTTTTCGAGGCCGAGCGGAGGGTTGGTTTCTGATAGGATGGGGAGAAGGTTTGGGATGAGAGGGAGGTTGTGGGGGTTGTGGGTGACGCAGACAGTGGCTGGGTTGTTGTGCTTGTTACTCGGGCGAGTCAACTCGCTCTGGGGATCCATACTTGTCATGTGTGCCTTCTCTGTCTTTGTTCAAGCAGCCTCGGGCCTAACGTTTGGTGTGGTTCCCTTTGTGTCCAAAAGGTAAGCAACAATGCAATGACACTCTCCACATGTCATCAAGTAGAAAATTAGCACAGTTGATGACTCATCTCTCTCTCTCTCTCTCTCTCTCTCTCTCTCTCTCTCTGTTGGGTCCCACTTCTACTGCTTGAATCTTTTAAGACATGAAGATGATGGAGGATCATTCCTCCCTCGTTCTTGGCTTTCAATCTTCAGGAAAATAAGACAATATTGGAGTGACTAACTAGCTAGGCTAGACAGATCTCAACTGTAATTCCTCAGGTGTCCATGCGTTCACCCACATGAACGGGTGGGTGACTGTGAGCCGTTGATTGAAGGAAAGATGATCATTTGTCAAAGGCCACAGTCGCCCACGTTCGCGTGATATGCTAACACTGCTCATTTGTTTAATTACTGCAAAAAGACTTTGCACTAATCATTTGCATTAATGTTAATGCAGGTCACTAGGTGTGGTATCGGGGATTACAGGCAGTGGAGGGACTGTAGGGGCGGTGATAACCCAGCTGTTACTGTTCTCAGGCTCTAAATTCTCCAAGCAGACAGGCATTTCTCTGATGGGTATCATGATGATTGTGTGCACTCTCCCAGTCTCCCTTATCTACTTTCCTCAGTGGGGCGGAATGTTCTGTGGCCCTTCCTATGGCTCTGATGATCATCTCAATGGACCAGAAAATGATGAAACAAACCATTATCGCTTGCTCCAATAAAGAATTTATCTAACAAGGCCTTCATTTCATTTGGGCCTCAAGTTTCATATGGAGCAAGTACAAGTTGATCCAATTATGTAAAGTGGTCACGTACTGTACAAGACTCAAGAGCTATGCATGAATTAGCCTTTCTGAAGAAAATGATTGGCCTTCGTTTGTAGTTAGGTTGTTTTAAAAAAACACTAAATAAAGACTGCATTTGATAGCTAAATACGTATGATTGCTTGTGGTCGAGGGACCCCATTTTCCATACAGTGCCACAAGAACATGCAAGTTCGATCAACTGAATACTGAAGCTCGATAAAACGACACTGAACTTACCGTGTTTTCTCGCCATTCAATGATATGCTTTAGAGTTCCTTACGAGGATGCAGCAGCCGATGCTTGATTGCATCCAAAGTTGGCAAAGGCCACCAACCACCAAGAATTCCAACCAAAGTGTACTTCTGGTCTCTTACTTCAACTCTAGCCAGACACAAAAGCTGAAAGTCTTCAACTTCAACCTTACTTGCGTACAGTGCCTGAAGAAGAGGAAACACAAGATTTTAGAAGTGTGTTATCCTTAAATGTTCTAGTTTTTCAAAGTAGCAACCACTAAAATTTTATAATGATAACAGGACACTTGCCTTGTTATACAAGTGAGGTTCTCCACGCTTAAGTCGATGACACAACTGCAAAACATTAAGTTTGAAATAAAGGTTTATCCGACAAGAACTACTATTACCATCAACACTATAGCTTTGATCAATCTATGGTTAAATTATAATGCAATGGTCACCGAAAACAATGTGCAGTAGTCATTACCCAAAAAACAAGGTGCCACTTCTGAGAATTCAAGTCATAGAACAATAAGAGACTTGTTAGTTCCTACCATACTACAACCCACCCAATATGAAATGAAAGCAGCTCCTCAAATTAAGTGTTCAGTAAAAAATGAAATCTACATTTCTTCAGATTGCAGAAACCGAGACATGGTTACCTTCCAATAGGGTAAAAGGTAGAAAGTCACTGATTAATTAGGTGTTAAGAAATTAGTAAATGTATAAAAGTACCAGGGGATGCTTCCTTACCTCATCCACGAAACCATAAACTGAGAAAGGACTAGGCTTGGTGCTCAGGAGGAAAAGAATTAGCTTCAATGCAAATGGCGCAAGTGTAACGGAATCATCCCAGTATGCCAACATAGTGACGAAGAAAAAGAAAGGCAACCAGATTTTCCTCACAAACATCCAGACGGCATGTTGATCTTCCTCCACATCTGAAGCACCAGACACTTCCAGATTAAGATCATTCACCAAAATATCATGGCCTACATTATTAAAATTCAAATAAAAGGGAGTTAGTAAGAGGTACGCGTCTACAGAATATAAGACTTCAAAATGGGCACGAGAGTTTAGAACATATAATAAATCGGGTGCTTGCTCACCATCCATGGCATATGCAGCATTTGGCAAGAAGCTGATTGACCCAAGAAAAACTGACACACCAAGAATGCTTCCAAATCTTAGTATACTTCCTCCTGAAAGGAATGTCAAAATTATGGGTATCCATTAAACATTATGCTGGCTGCAGAGAAAACCCAGTTTTTGTTTAGGGTTCATTAGTGAATGGCATCAACATGTTCAAGTTTTAACTTTTAACAACCATAACCACCAGAAATTGACATCATAAAGTCTAATTGAATATTAGCGCCACAATATGATGATCAACGACAAAAATCCTACAATTTCCAAATCCAATTTAAAGTATAAAGTTTACTTTAACATTTTCAAGCGGTAGAAGCAAAATCGAATAGGCGACTTGCCTGAAAACCAGAATTTCTGAAGAGAATTTCTTTGGATATTCAATGAACAATAATATGCTGAGGCACGGTTGCGTAGTACAGGTTGAACGCCCTTTAACAACGCCTTCAAAGGTTCAAACTGGGCATTAGCTGAACAAGTGATTACACCCAAACAATCAAATGTTAAAAGATTGAATATGAAAAGCAGACAAACTTTCCCCACAAAAAGTACTTACAGAATTGCCTCGAATGAGAGATTGAGGAACGGGAAGAGATTAGTAAATCTAGGGATTGTCGAAATGAACAAAGAAATTTTCTTGCAATCGCCATTTTTGCGCTGCTAGAGTGATGCTGTCATCTTTGAGACTGAGAGTGCTTTCCAGCACTCAAGAAATGAAATGCGAATATACTTGCGAGAAGCATTGACGTAACACACAACACGACGTCGTCGTTTCCTCGCAACTTCCTTTCCGCAGAATTGACATTGAAGGATATAGTTTGAGCAAAAATGATATCTGAAAAGTCAATAATACCTTTTTTTTGTTAGAGCAACTCCGCTCATTTGCCCGCAGGGGGCTAGAGCAGCTATTATTCACGTAAATAGACAAAGAGATTTTCTATTTAAACCCCGCACTTCTCTTTATTTACCTCAATACTTAAATTATTAAGCTGTAAGTTTTATTATTGTGTAAAAAGACAAAAAAGGTCATCGAACTTAATAATTAACCCTAGTACACACACCCCACACACTCCACTACTCTTCATATTAAGTATTAGAAACCTCCATCCAACTTCCTGTTTACAAACTCTCTCTCTCTCTCTCTCTCTCTCTCTCTCAAGTTCTCAACTCAACAATACCCAAGTGTTAGAATTCCAGTTATAATCCTTGAAGAGAAGTAAAGCTGTTCTCTTCCTCTAGATATTAAATTTCGGATTTAGGGTTTCATTTATTTGTGTTTTTTTTTTGTTGGGAACAAAGAAAATTGTGGGGTTTAAATAGAAAATCTCTTTTAATTCTTATTTTTTCAGTTTGGGGTGTATTTAAGGGTAGTTTGGGAAGATAGTGGGGTTTTCTTAAATTGTGAAAATTTAAATTAAAAGTTGGGGTGAACTTAGAACATGAGGTGAACTAAGAGAAGTGTGAGGTTTAAATAGAAAATCTCATAGACAAATAGTATTATGTGTTTCAACCTGCTGCCATGGCAAAGGGCAATTATTATTCATTTTTTTATTTTTTTCACAAATTTTTTTACCTCAATAATTAATTTGGATAATATTTTCAGATAAGATTTTCGGGTTCCTACGTGTCAAGACTATTTATAACCGAATAAAATTTCCAAATAAGATTTTTGGGTTCAAATTTCGGATAAATTTCAAATTTCAAAATTCAGATAAATTTGGGTTCAAATTTCGAATGAATTTCAAATTTCAGATAAATTTCAAATTTCAAAATTCGGATGAATTTCAAATTTCAAATTTTAGATAAATTTCAAATTTCAGATGAATTTCAAATTTCAGATACGATTTTCATCCAATCAAATCAAGCCACGTGGCATCTCTATCTGACCAAAATTTTCTATAAAACTAGAGGCTCAGCTTATAGTTCTTACACCACATCTTTCTATATTTTCATTTCTCAGAGTTTAGAATTCATACTCCATTCTCAAATGGAAGATTTTAGAAAGATTTTAGGAGATGCTTGGAGAGGCAAGAGCGAGAAACAAATGAGAGAAGTCATAGAATAGATGAAAGAAATATGTTGCAGAGAGAAGAAGATGAACAAGTTGTCATAGCAGTGGCTTTACTTGATGAAAAGAATCAAGGTCGCCGCCACCGTGGTTCACAAGTCGGGCGTGGCCCGAATGTGGATAGACATAGGCATTCTCGGGGTAAGAATCTTTTGAAAGATTATTTTATCCCAACTTCTTTGTACTCTGATGTTGATTTTCGAAGGCGATATAGAATGCAACCCCATTTGTTCAATAAAGTCATGCATGATATTTGCAATTATAATGCATACTTTGTTCAAAAGTGTAATGCTGCTGGGGTTTTGGGACTTCTTCCGGAGCAAAAGTTTACAATTGTTATACGAATGCTGGCATATGGTTCATCTCATTGCCTGACACGGGACAATGACTAACTTGGAGCCAAGACTCAGACAAGAAAACATCTCCCATGATGCTCCACGCCCCTCAGCTTTCGATAGAAGAAGCCATAAAGATAAGAAATAAAAATACAATTTAAAAGAGAGGAAAATGTTGAGTAAATAGTGAATAATAGTAGAAGTATAAGAAAATGTATGAGGATTAGTGTTAAAAGTGAAGGGTATTTATAGGTATTTATAGAAAAAAAAAATTCATAATTTGTTGGTATTTTTTAAAAAAAAATGTCAATTTTTTTTTTTTCATAATTGTATTGCCAAAAAAATGCCAGCTGGAGAGTGCGCAAGGCTGACGTCAACGCACGTGGGTTTAAATTTTTTTTACCTTAAAAAAAATTCAAACCGCACGATGATGTCGCACATGACGTCATCCCCCCTCAGGCTCGAGCTCAGGCGAAACTGGCCTTTAGGCCAACCCGTCTTCGTGGGACCCACTCCTAACCCGGGCAAGAGTGGCCCACTGGAAGCTCGTTTTTTGCGCAGCCCGCCCCTAGCCTTTGGCTTGGGCTGAACGGTGGAATGGCTCTTAAAAGGATCCGCAATTCTTGATTAGGTTTAGGTACCATAAGGTTGAAATATAAGTTTTTTTTGCTGTTGTTGATGTGACAGGACTCCAATTCAAATGAAAAAATGTCTTGACTTGTAGACTAGAGGCAATATAGTTTTGTGTGTGTGTGAGAAATTACCTTCCTCTCTAATTTAGACTATAACTTGTACTAAAAAAAAAAGTTACTCTAAATTAAACTACTTTACGGAAGAATACATTCAAATTTGGATGCAAAAAAGGGTCTCACTCTCCTGATTTACTAACTGACCTATCACATATCTGCTAAAATATTCATATTTAGCAGCTAAGGAAAGAACCCAATGACAATCTCTCTTTTATTTATTCGGACCAATCACAAACTCAATCTTTTTAAATGTTGCATGGATGGTTCAATTGGTCATCATTTGGCCTGTGACCCGTGGGCCGAATTGAGTGGCTCGAGGTTCAATGGGCCAAAGTCCAGCCTTGCCTGATGGTTAGTCCGACTCGGCCTCACCCGTTCTAAGGTTGGGTAAAGTTTAGGCTTAGGTTTTGAAACCTATGGCCTACCCTCGGCCTGCCCATGTGTCTTATTTAGACTCAGGTCTCTTAGACTTTTATCTTTTAACTTCCTAGCTATACACTAGCTTTTCTTTCAACTCTATCACACAGAATAAGCCATGTATAGTTCAATAATTCTATGGGTACCATATGATTCAATAATTTCATGGAACCCACACCATGTGAGATAATTGAGATAAGATTTGGGAAATCTCAACTCTCTCACATAGAACCAGGTCTGTATGATTCAATAATTTATTATGTGAGAGAATCAAGATAAGAATTTTGAAAGAAATGGTGTGTTTAATTTTTTTTTTTATAAGAATTGAAGAGTTTATGCTAAATCTATTCCACTCACACATAAATTTATATATTGAATACAAAATATTTTGTCCAAAAAAAATAAAGAGTACAAAATATTAAGAGCATCTCCAATAGTAGTAATAAATTAAACTTTTCAAATTAAAGTTTGTTGACCTATGTGGCAATTTGAAAAGGTTTATTTGTTACATGAATAATTTTTGCTCCAATAGAATATTCAAATCAATTAATGCAATATCGTGGAAAGTAATGAAAAATATGAAAAAAGTCTATGTATTTATTATCTCAAAAGAAAAAAAAAAGAGCATGTTTTAAATATTTTCAAGGTAGGTTTTGTTTTTCCAAAGTAAAATTAAATGTTTTGAAGAGCCAAAGTCAACTTACCAGTCTTAAAGAGAGAGAAAGAGATTGCAGTTGTGATCACTGAGTTTGACAAAGTTGTTGGAGAGATGTTTTCTAATGTGGCTCGTCTATTTTAGCATCCCGAAGTGATTGAAGATGCTATTGAAAATGCTCTGATATTTTACTTGTAAGAGCATCTTCAATGGTGAGGGATCAATTGTTCATTTCAATAAGTTGACCCACCATAATAACTCTATAACCTCTCTCTTATTGACACTTGGACAACATTACTTTTTAATTTTGCTTATTCATATTCAATTTTGTTATGCAATAACTTGAAAAATAGGTGCTATGTTATGTTCTCATTTAATCTCGACTTCCAATTCTTTTTTAAAAAATGTTTATATAATATTGTCACCAACTAAAGAAAATCTTGTTATTAATTATATATATATATATATATATTCAAAATTTGTCTCTTTTTAAAGATCTCTTTGAAACCATTTTAATTGTATAATTCTTATCGTAATTAACTTTATTTTATTCCCGAATTTTAAAAGATATTTAAAAAAATATATATTTTAATTTGTAAGCTATTGAACTGCACCAATGCAAGGGAAACTTCAGTTCAGTTCAATAGCTGCCAAACAAGTTCAATAAATTGAACTATTGAACTGAACTAAAATGAACCATTAAGCAACCATTGCAGATGCTCTAAATAGAAAAATATATATATTTAAATATGAGTGGAATACAAGTGACATAGATTGAATGGGAAAAGCAGAACAAAGAAGAATACTCGTGTGTGTTTAAGATTTAAACAAAATATTTGTCTACCAATATTTCTTTTACCCGGGAAAAGAAATTATCATTTCCGCAATTCCACCCCAAACATAAGTGTGTGTGGGTTGGTACATAAGTTGGTATCTAAAGTTGGTCTCCCTAACATTTTCACAAAATAGAAGTTGTTAGCGATCATTAGCCAACAAATAAAAACATAAATCTTTTGGTGGTGTCGTTTGATTATTTAATCCTTATTACTTACATCACAAGAAAAGCAATACCGTATGTAGTCGATCTGTTAATTTATACTCGGTCTTTGACTTTCCGTACACACTATTTGTATTTGACACAAAACTTTCATCCTTGGTTACAACCAATCGTCTAACCAGGCGTTGGAGCATTTGGGTATTACTATTGAAACAAACCTGTCTCTGCAGCAGCAGCAGCAGCAGCAGCAGCTCTCTCGATCTTCACTGACAGTGACACCATCAAAATATTACCTCTCATTCCTCCCTTTCAAACCTTCTCCCACTCAATTCCTCATTTCATATATGAAATGCAATCTTTCTTTTGAGCTATTGGGGCGGCCGTCATTTCATCTCTTTGGTTTAGCTGCCTTGTTTCATCTCTTTGGTTTAGTTGCCTTGGTCTGTTTCAAGTGCTGGGTTTTCTTTGGAAGCTTGATATAATCCCTCTTTCCAGGTTATTGGCAGGTTATTCGGTTACTGACGTCCTGGATCTGTGAGCTTTAATTTAGTGTTTCTTTGTTGGGGATTTTTCCCTGGGTTGTTTTCTGCTCTTTCTTTTTTGATTTGTTTGGTTTTATTCTATTGCATTCTGATTCTAGTAACTCCCTTTCATCTTCACCTTCATCTTCATGCATGCTTATTTTGTCTATCTAGAGCTGGGTTGTGATTCTCTTCAAGTCTACCTCACTACCTCTCTGTGCTTCTGTTTTATACAAAAGATCCATAATATTAAATCCTATATCAAGTGAGCTTTAGAGCCTTGCAATACCGACACCATTATACCAATACCACTAGAGTAAACTAATATTATCCAAAACACCACTATACTGACACCATTATATTATATTTATCTGTGCACCCATACCTACATCACTAGTTAATTCCTTGTTTATCAATTTGCCTTGTGATCTAATCAGATCAGATATGATGTGTTTCTCTTCATTTTATGGGTTCATTAGGCTTTAGCAATGGAGCTTACAGAATTTATCTTGCTAGCTTATGGGATTGTTAAAAATAGGCGCCTAAGACACCCCATCAATCTATTTTGCCGACCAGCCCTCTTTCCGCATCTTCTACTTTCTGACAAAAATACATATTTCACCACCTTCTATTGCATGTAGCATCACGTTGGCACTAGCATTTTCTGCCTGCTATCATCCTCTGCTCTCATTGCCGCTGCTCCTTCTTTGCTGACTGTAAATATGTGCATATCTGACTCTCTCTCTCTCACAAATGGAACATCTTTGTCCACATCTTTCATCAATCCGGTCCTAGTTTACAACTATTTTGATTGTTGTCATTTTTTAGTAGTTTTCTTTTGTTGTAATTGCTGAACTTGTCTATTGAGTTCTTGATTTCACCTGTATTATGTTTTGGTTTGCAGAAGACAATGAGCAATTCAAACATCATAGATTTATGCAGTGATGATGAAATGGGTGAGTCAAATATGAAAAAATGTACAAGGGAGATTGAGCCTGGCTTTGATTCTGCATCTGCACCCTCAGTATGCCCAACACCAATTTCTCGGCAATTTTGGAAAGCTGGACACTACGAAGAAAAGCAGGGACAGAGGTGCAAAGCCGCAAACCCATGTAAATGTTTTCTCTGCTCACGTTATGTGTTTCGATTGCGACCCTTGCTTAAATGGCATTCCGCATGGGCATGCCTAATTGATTAACAAGTTCAAATTCCTTTAGGCGTTTGTATCATTTAACCACAATTGGGTTTTTAAAGCTGCTTTAATGGACTATGAAGATATGAAAAATGGTAAATACACTGGTGTATCAAATTTCAGTATGCGGCCGTGCGTGAAATGGGCTAGAACCTGATTACAATAGAAAAAGTGCAGAACCCGTGTCTGAAAGAGTTGTTTGCATGTCTACATGAAAGTTCCTGTCATGAGTTCCTAATTTTCTGTTTTTCATTAGACCATTCTATGTCATCTTTTGGTTTACAGATGGAAAAAACCATATGCGCATACACCCTATGTTCCTTCACTCAAATGCCACTTCACATAAGTGGGCTTTTGGAGGTATACTCAGGTTTTGTCCCATTGGTTTCCCTTCTCTTATTTCTGCATGTATTCCCCTTGCTCTCTTTCTGATCACTTGTTTGCAGCCATGGCAGAATTGCTTGACAATGCAGTCGACGAGGTAATTTCCAAAACCCCCTTACCTTTATCATTCTGATTCTTCTGGTTTTGCATTTAAAATGTTCATTTCCGAAACCCCCTTGAGCGGAATAACATCATTGAGATAGAAATGGCCCATTACTAGGAAGAAACCCAATAACATTATGCTGAAGTTCATTTTTGCCTTTGAAGTTGTTTCCTGGTGGACAAAATGCATTCTCCCTGTGGTGTTAACTCTAGCTATTGAATTACTGTTATAAATCAGAGAAAAAGGACAAGCTTGGAATCATGGATGGTAAGGTTTTAGATTTGTTTGGTTTTAAGTCTTTATACGATGTTAGAAATGGTGTTGTTCTTAAGACTCAAGTGATATTTAGGAGACAGAATTCCATCAGCTCCAGGGCCTGTGAAAGGGGAGGAAAATTTTAGATGTCTTGTATTGCAATTGAGGTGGTGTGGAGTTTAGGATGAACAAAATCAGTGATTGTTTTTTAAGATTAATAATGATTGTCTGCACTAGTGATTGATTTTGATTTTATATATAAATAGCAAATGTATCTTGTAAGTATAGATCAGTGAATACAATCAGTTTTTTCAGTTTTGTATTTGTACCTCTGTTGTGCTCTGATAAAATTATGAAAAAAAATCTATAACAGAAGATTCTTGGTGTCCTCTCTCTCTCTGAGCATGCTTATTTATGGTACCTTTCAGTTCTGTTTAACTGGGGCACTTAGTTATTTATTAACAACCTTTGTTTGTGGGGACTAGATACAAAATGGAGCTACTTTTGTTAGCATAGACAAGATGTCTACCCCACGGTATGGGACTCCAGCTTTGCTAATTCGAGGTTGGCCTACCAATCCTTTTACCTTTGTTTTTTCTATTAATATCTGGACCAGGATAACATTTCATATGAACTTTTGGCTTCTGAAACATGATATTCGACAACAAAAAGATGATGGTGGCGGAATGGACCCCGACGCTATAAGGCGCTGTATGAGCTTTGGGTTTTCAGATAAGAAATCAAAGTTAACCATTGGACAATGTATAGATTGTACTTGGGGTCATTGAATCTTGTGCTTGATGTATTGTATTATTTGTTGATTGGGATCCTTTTAGCCTTTCAGATGGAAATGGCTTCAAGACAAGCTCTATGAGACTTGGAGCAGATGTTATTGTATTCAGTCGCCACTTGAAATCAAGGTTTGGCCCATGATCATATAATTTCACTTTACTTACTCTGCTTGTAGTATGCTTTCCTTGTTATTAAATAACTATTGTTGGTATTTCTCTGTGTGTGTGTGAGAGAGAGAGAGAGAGAGAGAGAGAGAGAGAGAGAGAGAGAGAGAGAGAAAATATATATATAAAGACCATAAAAAAGGGCGGTTGATAGCTTTTTTCTTTTTTTTTGGGATAAGAAATGAATTGGCAGCTTGATTTACTAATGTACATTATTATGTCTCGCTTTTGTCTTTATAATTTTGTTTCTAGCCCAATATTAGGAAGTGGAGATAACCATGAATTTTTATAAAATAGAGATAGTACTTATTTTGTATTTACACTGTTGGTATATAATGTTGACTGCATAAGGTTCTGTTTGCATTGGTGTATAACCTTCTCAGGTCACAGACTCAAAGTGTTGGACTCCTTTCTTTTACATTTTTGAGGCAGGTGGGCTACGACAAGATAGTTGTACCAATGGTGAGTTTGATTTCATAGCACCTTTTTATATGTGATAATTTCTTTTGCAAGTTCACCCAAACTAAAATTGGTATGATAATCCTTGCCAAATTGTGGAGTCTACAATAGGTGAACATGCTGTGTAAGCAGTGTTAGTGTCCTGTCTGAAAGTTAATAAATGGCCTACTTGAACATGGTCGGAATTACTATCAGGGACTTCCTCCTTGAAGACTAAAAATTTAGCAGAGTGGATGTGATGCAGAATCAATAGTAGTAAAGAGATCAATTCAATTACCTAGTTGTCCACATATTCCTAAAATTATGGTTCTCATCATTTGCCGTCAAGATGATCACAACTTAGCGAGAGTATTTGGTTTTGTATCGTCTTTGATTTATGAACAGATAAATTTTCATAAGTCTTCAACATAGGCTATCACAGGGACCTTGTAATGCCATTTTGGTGTTACCATAAACAAGGCCACTGAAAGTGATCTTTCTGCATATTATTTGATTTCGGTCAGTGGCAGAACCCCATTTATGGTTCATTTATCAGTGTGAAATGCTGTGAGTCGATTTCTAATTTTTTTTTTTGGTTAACCCAAATGGAATTCATTAATGTACGATTGATACTATTTTCAGTTTCTTTATTATAGGAATCTAGTAACTATTTAACTCAGAACTCAGTATGGGTATTCCCGTTACTACAGGTGGATTATGAGTTTAACTCATCAGCCAGAACATTCAATCCCATAATTCCACATAATGAAGACCAGTTTTCTTCTAACCTCACCATGCTGTTACAGTGGTCTCCTTATTCAACGGAAGAGGAGTTGCTGAAGCAAGTAAGCCTGCAAAGATAATTTGGCATTAATCTTAACATAAAACTTACTGCTGCATTCCTATGAGTTGCTGAAGCAAGTAAGCCTGCAAACATACAGTTCTTTATTAATGAGGTGATTTCGATTGGACCCTAAATGAAGTGTTAAAAATAAGAGAGTTCACTAAAACACCCAAAATAGGGGCTTAAATTTTAAAAAAACCCAAGCACTATTTAAACATATAAACACACCCAAAACCCATCATTACATACACTCAAAATCTATTTATAAACACACCCAAAAAGTTGACTTTGGGGTTGATTTTGGGTGTGTTTCTATGTTTAAATAGTACTTGGGTTTTTCTATAAATACATGTCTAGGATTGGGTTTATTTATAAATTTGTATATTTATTATAGCAAGCAATTGTTATTGTGCAATTGGCCCTTTATCATGTGTGTGCACATATCCTTACATGCATACACACATCCTTACATGTGTACATATACACATACATGCCTTCATGCAGACATGGTGTGCATGTAAGTATTTTACCTATTTAATTTATTAACCCAATTGTCAGTTTGATGATATAGGGGATCATGGAACAAAACTTGTCATTTACAATCTTTGGTTAAATGATGATGGGGACATGGAACTAGATTTTGATTCTCATCCCAAGGTTCTGATCATCCCTTTGCTTCATTCGTTCACTTTTGGATCATATTGGATACGTTGTTACCACAAATCTTATTCTTGCAGGATATTTGTATTAATGGTGACAAAGCACTTAGCAGAATGAAAGCAAATCAGCATGTTGCAAACCTATATCAGCACTCTCTCCGTGTAAGTATAGATTTCAAATATCAAATTTGAATATTACAATAAGTTTCTCTTCCTTAAATCCTGGCCTGGTTTCATGTTCTACAGGCATATGCATCAATCCTGTATAGGCAGCTACCAGAGTACTTCAGAATAATTTTGCGTGGACGAGATGTTGAGCACCATAATATTGCCAGTGATCTCAAATATCTTCAGTTTATCAAGTATATGCCACAAATTCATGGAAATATGGAGGTTTGTGCTGTCTACAATGCCACCATTCCTACTACCATGCTGATTTTTAGCTGCTACTAATTGCACCCTGTAATTTATCAGACGCATCTGACTTAATTGCATCACATCAGTTTCCTCTTTGCTTCTCTCTCCAAGTTACTGTATGGTTGACTGATATCCTCATGTTCAAGTCGTTAATCGTTCTGAATTCTCTCTATAGTCGGTTTTCGGAGGGCTTAAGATGGAGCAAATTAAACAGGTTGCATTTTTTCTTCTAGCTAAAAGAGACAACATGACCATGAATAATAGAGTATTATGATGATGAAGTTGGCTGAGTTTTACTTTCAGTAAAAACGTCTGAAGAACAGAGCAGTCATGTCTTGAAATGATAGTTATAGCCCAAAAAGTGTGTCACGTCTCTTTTTGAGAAAAAGCTTGTGTGATTAAAAGCCCTATCTGATCCTAATCACCCACCCCACATGTGTTTGTGCAAATGCATGTTGTCTTTAGCTTTAGGTGGTGTGCGGTGCGAATGTGTTTTGTTAGTATCCAAATCCAATGGTTCTACCGTAGTTGATTGCTAGCTTCTTTGTTCAGGTTGAAATTATTACCGCAATAGGGTTTCTGAAGGAGGCTAATACTCATGGTTTCAATATCTACCATCGGAATCGTCTGATACTGGTAATTTTCTTCTCTGTTATTGTTAAACAGCTCGTCTAATAAAAATTCACTAACCTTTTCTCTGACTTGTTTACTTGTCGAATGCCAAGCCAGGATTTTTGTTTGCAAATTTGCCGAGAGTGAATGAAACTATATGCCATTTGCATAACTTTTATTAGTCGATGCATGTTATCTTGTTCCATACCCCTGGAAAAGAAAGTGAACTTGTTGCATACCACTTATGCTTTTCTTATTTATTAATTTTTGGCAGCCATTTTGGCGTGTACTTAGAATTGGGACAAACAGTACTGGAAGAGGAGTTGTCGGTGAGAACTGCACTTATATAGACTAGTTCATCAAACAGTTGTATACGTACGGTTGATGATGATTTATGCGATAGTATTATTATTGTAGGTGTCCTGGAACCAGATTATATTCAGCCTACTCACAATAAGCAAGATTTTGAGAAAACTTCCCTCTTCCAAAAGCTTGAAGATCGTTTAAAGCAAATGACAGTAGAGTATTGGTGAGCCACCTTTTACATTGTTGGGTGTTTTTTTTTTTTTTTTTTTTTTTTTTTTTGTGACACAGCTAGGAATGGGAGGGGCACGAACTCACATACACCAGGACCACTTGGAAGCACACAAAAGACCTAACATCCCATTGGTTATTGTTTATTTATTTATTTATAAAAAATTAGATCTGTTGAATTGCACACGAAATAGTAAGTATACTAATAGCATTGCTTTTTTACCAAGAAAAAAAATAATACTAATAGCATTGTTGGGCTTTTTTTTTCTAGTTCTTTATGTTTTTCTGTAGGCCCTGTTTAGCTTGTTTCAGTTCTTGGGCTTAGGCCTCTGATGCAATGCTTTTAAAAGAAAAAATAAAAATAAAAATCCCATTTTGCCCCAATATATCATTACCCAAATCACATTTTGCCTAGGACGCAAACCCATAACCCAGAGCCCAAAAACGGTTCATTGTCTAAGAACATAAATGAAACTGGCCGTCTCATCTCAGTAGTAGCAGTACACTGAAGAACAGACGACGACGTCTTCGAAGGTGAACTTCTTCTTCCTCGCGCGAGAGGCAGGCCGGCCTGTGGAAGTATTTTAAAGTATTAACTCTTGGTTTTGAATTTTTGGCTGTTGAATGTATAGGGTTGTTCTCATTTCTGTAAAAATTCACTGGTCCAATGACTTGTAATAATTTCCGGGTTGACGCATTATTCTGTTGTACTACCTTTCTCCTTGGCAGGAACAAGCATTGCACACTGATTGGTTATCAGCAAGTTAAAAGATGTCCATCTGCAACATCGCGTCAGCAGGAGCCACCTTATTCCGCAACTCAGAATTGTGCGGACCAACCTTCGTTACTGAATGGTGGTTCTGAATATAAAAGTTCAAGAGCAGGTTTGATCAAAAAGAGGAAGGATCTTGTTGATCCTCCAGTGAAACTACAACACGCCAAAAGGCACAATGTATTTTGTGGAACTGATGATGTCCAGTACATTAGTGAACAGGTTTACTTCTACGTTCTCATATTTGGGTTCAAAGCATATCTCTGTTTCCTTTCACTAGGTTAATGTTGGATGTTTATTACCATTCCTTGGTGTATTTTTTTGGTAGCCTGAAAATAGCGTTGAGGACATGATGCAAGTTTCACAGAAGATACTTCTGATGCAGGAAAACAAAAAACTTCGGTTACGGTAAGTACAAAGCAATATGGTTGCTCACCATTTGCGTAATTATCCACACATTGTTATTGTTTTGGGATTTCTCATGTGTCCTGTCGCTTCCAGGCTGCTTTCATTGGATCAAACGGTGCAAGAACTTAATTTGAAGGTCTCTCTATCTCTCCCCCTCTGTGTGCGAAAAAGATAAACCTGAATTAGTAGTTAATATAGTTAAGTCTTTTAATGAACATGATATTACAATTGGTGCAGGTGCAACAACTTAAGGATGAACTAGAGAATGTACTGCTCGCTCTCTCTCTCCCTCTCCCCAAAAAAAAAAAACTGATATCAGATTTTTACCTGATCTGGTAGTTGACATAATTAGTCTTTAATCAAGATGAAGTTATAATTGGTGCAGGTGCAAAAACATGCAGGTGAACTAGAGAATGAACTGACGCAGACGTTGCTTGAATCATACACATTGAATAAATATGAGCAGCACGTTTGCTAACTAGCTCTCTCTCCCTCTTGGGTCCCACTTCTCTTCTACTGCTTGAATCTTTGTGATGGGAAGCGAGGATGATGGAGGATCATTCCTCCCTCGTTCTTGGCTTTCAATCTTCAGGAAAATAAGACAATATTGGGGTGACAAACTAGTTGAGCTAGACAGATCTCAACTGTAATCCCTCAGGTGTCCATGCGTTCACTCGCATAAACGGGTGGGTGGCTGAGACGTTGATCGAACGAAAGATGATCGTTCGTCAAAGGCCACAGTCGCCCATGTGCTCGTGACATACTAACACTGCTCATTTGTTTAATTACTGCAAAAAGGCTTTGCACTAATCATTTACATTTCAAGTCTTGATTGAAAACCCATTAATGCAGGTCAGTGGAGGGACTGTAGGGGCGGTGATAACCCAGCTGTTACTGTACTCAGGCCCTAAATTCTCCAAGCAGAGAGCATTTCTCTTATGGGTATTATGATGATTGTGTGCACTCTCCCAGTTACCCTCATCTACTTTCCTCAGTGGGGTGGAATGTCCCGTGACCCTTCCTATGGCAATGAGGATCATCTCAATGGGCCAGAAACTGATGAAACAAGCCATTATGGCTTGCTCCAATAAAGAATTTATCTAACATGGCTTTCATTTGATTTGAGCCCAAGTTTCATATGGAGCAAGTACAAGTTGATCCAATTATGTAAGGTGGTCACGTACAGTTACTGTAAAGAACAAGCTTGTGAATGTTCAAAGAGGTTCTCAAGACTCAAAAGCTATGCATGAATTAGCCTTTCTGAAGAAAATGATTGGCCTTCATTTGTAGTTAGTAAGAGGTACGCGTCTACAGAAAATAAGACTTCAAAATTGACAGCGTAAAGTCTAATTGAAGATATGATGATCAACGACAGAATTTCTTTGCATATTCAATGAACAATAACATGCTGAGGCACGGTTGTGTAGTACAGGTTGAACGCCCTTTAACAACGCCTTCAAAGGTTCAAACTGGGCATAAGTTGAACAAGTAATTACACCCAAACAATCAAATGTTAAAAGATTGAATATGAAAAGCAGACAAATTTTCCCCACAAAAAGTACTTACAGAATTGCCTACAAGGAGAGATTGAGGAGCCGGAAGAGATCAGTAAATCTAGGGATTGCCGAAATGAACAAAGAAATTTTCTTGCATTCGCCATTTTTGCGCTGCTAGAGTGATGCTCTCATCTTTGAGACTCTCTGAGTGCTTTCCAGCACTCAAGAAAGAAATGAAACGCGAATATACTTGCGAGAAGCATTGACGTCATACACAACACGACGTCGTCGTTTCCTCGGAACTTCCTTTCCGCAGAGGATACGCTCGTTTGAGTTTGAGCAAAAATGAAATCTGAAAAGTCAATAATACCCTTTTGTCTTAAAAGGGCAGGTGAAGGATATCACTTTCCCCAGTTCTTGATTAGGTTTAGGTTTCCGAAGGTTGAAATATAAGTTTGTAACTTAAGTTACTCTAATCTCAGTGGAAAAGGCCCTTAATTTGTCGACGAGAGGGATCATAGTTTTTTTTTTGTGTGAAAAAGTTCATTTCCCTCAAATTTAGACTATAACTTACATTAAAAAAAATTATTCTAAATTAAACCATTTTATAGAAAAATACATTCAAATTTAGATACGAAGGAACGGCCTCACTCTCTTGACTCACTAACTGACCTATCACACATCAGCTAAAATATACGTATTTGGCGGCTAAAAGCAAAGAAAAGCCCAATGACAATCTCTTTTATTTATTCGGACCAAGCACAAACCCGATCCTTTTAAATGCTGCATGGTTGCCTTGCCACTACTTGTGGACGTGATGGGTTATTGTAAAGAAAGAAAGCAAAAAAAAAAAAAAAAAAAGACGTAGAAAGGTGGGGAAAATATCGGACAGAAATATCTGCCAGGGTTTTCCTCAAGTCGAGAGTAATATCAGAAGATTCATAGAATCATAAAGGGTTACATTTGGCACCTGTGAGAGAGCATATCCAATATGTCTGTCTCTGCAGTCTCAATTTCCCAATTTTCACTACCAAAAGCTTTCCAAGTTGAGGACCATTTCACCACAATAAGCAAGCCCATCTGGAGGTAATCTCATGCAGATTAAGCTTTCAAGTTTGTTAAAATAAAAGGGTTTTAATTTTTTAAACAAGTTGCAGAATTTTCAGATTTTTTTGGGTTTGAATTTGGCTATGGTGCGGCTGATATTGAAATTGTTGTGCTCAAGATGGAGGAGGCAGGGAAGCCCTGCAAGCAGAATCAGATGTGGTAAGAGAGAGGCAGGGGAAATGCTAGCAACAAGCATGGGAAAAAATTACTATGAATTGCTTGGTGTTTCTGTTGATTCGAATGCGCAGAAAATTAAACAGGCTTATAGGAATTTGCAGAAGAAATACCACCCAGATGTTGCAGGACAAGAGGTAAGTAATCAAACTTATCTAAATCTACATATTTGATGATTAATTGTTGGCTAATTAAGGGGCAGCAGGGTCACGAGTATACCCTCAAGCTAAATGAAGCGTATAAGGTTCTGATGAGAGAGAATCTGAGGAAAGAATATGATGCTTCCATTGGTGAAATGAGAGGAAATTACAGCTCATCAAGCTTAGGTCGCACTTCTTCATGGAATGGACCTTTGAGACCCCAAGGTCTATTTGTTGATGAAAATGCATGCATAGGTTGGTCATTAATTTATCTACCGAAACTCATATATTAATTTCACATTAATTCCTTGATACAAGCCAAGCGATATTGATTTGATGGAGGTGGAAATCGAACCTAGAATCTCGGGAATCAATTGAACTACAAGCTTCTCCTTAATTTTGCATTAATTAAATTGCAATAGAATTATATTTGTGCAGGTTGCAGAGAATGCGTGCACCATGCAAGTAGCACCTTCATATTTGATGAGGCTCTCGGATGTGCTAGGGTTAAACTTCAATATGGTGACGATGAACAAAAGATTGAGGTAAATAATGTATGCAAGGTGGTTGTAGCTCAAGTAGTTAAGAGCAATTACCCTTGCATATGACATTTTGTGTTCGAATCCCCTCACCCGACATCACTTGTATAAAGAAGAACATATATAATGTATTAATTACTTCATGAATTAGAATGTGGTGTTAAACTGGCGTGGGTATTACAGGTATCAGTCGATTCATGCCCTGTGAACTGCATTCATTGGGTGGAGAAAGAAGAACTGCCGGTGCTTGAATTCCTGATTCAGTCTCAGCCAAAGGAAGGGTTTGGGATATTCGGAGGAGGCTGGGAAAGACCTGCAAATGTTTTCATGGCTGCTAAATCATTCAATAAACAAACTCACAATGAAAAACATGGAAGAAATTGTAAGAAGTTTAACTACTTATTAATTACCTCATCAATATTGTTTGTTGCCATATATATCATATCAATATTGCATTGCAGCACGTGCGTCGACTGTTGAAGAAGAAGAAACCCCTGCTCAAGCCAAGGCTCGAGCTGACGCAAGTAGGAAAATAAACATGGAAGCTGCATCAGGATTATTCTCAAGATTCTGGCAATGGCAAAATAAGCCTTTTTGGGGCGAAAAGGAGGAATAAAAAGTAGAGAAATTATAACTGCACATATATACATATGTAGATTATTACTACCAATCTGTATAAATTACTTTGTATGGTAGAAACGAACCGAACATGTATGTCTCAAATTCTCAAGAGGGGAATTTGTATGTAAATCATAGATTTCTATCCACATGCATATTAATTTTCCAAGTTCTCCAACTTCAATAACCATTGAATTGATCTTATAATAAATCTTTTACTTTTTTCTTTGCCTCCTCTACTATAATGTCGGATTGTGTTGTGACCTCGTCCATCGATCCAGCAAAAATACCAAATGCATGTTCATTCATTGAAAGTTCCGAGATATAATGGGAATTTCGATCACCAACACAAGACAAGAGCATCAAGAAAAGAAATGTATTGTGTACGTACATATATTCACTTTCATTTTTATTTTTTAGCAAATAACAGAAGATGTTCTTCTCTCGATCAACTAAACTTAGCATCTTGCTATTTGACCAAAAATAAACAAGATATACTACCATCCTTTGAACAATACGAGGTTACATGGCCCATGGATAAAGTAGAGGAGAAATGCTTTGACGTACGGGTAGAAAGCCTCGTCCCAATCGTTTCTGGTTGGTTACATGAATGAACCCTCATCCTCCAAAGCAAATACCATGCCCTCAAAATTTCAACCACAACAATTGCTTGCTTCGAAGCTTTATATGGTTTAACCAAGTTACAGAATCTCCTGATTTTCAAGCTGACATGCACCCTTAATTCCGCCATAATGTTTGCTGTGCACTTGCATGAATCAATGGAGCTGGCATTTGTTTGTTCCAACACAAACAGAGCACTCCTCTGCATCTCCAGCAATATGGCTTAAGCAGTGATTGATCCTATCATTCAAAACATCCTGCAACCAGAGACCTTATATCAGAACAAAAGCACAGTGGAATATGGTTGAAATGCATATCGCATATAGAGCAAACAAAGTTGAGCACGCAAAGAGAAATATAACAAGCATAATCTCCCTTAATTTAGTGGACATGTTTCTAAAACCAGGATAAACACATTCAACCATCAATTTAAGCATCAACATAACTTTAGCCATAGCTTCGAGAAATTTTGTGACGACACCGTTTGATGCCATAGGCAAAGAATCAAATTAAGGAAATTCCATCATCATACCACGAGTAGCGGATGAAGGCCAAGAGGTGCCGTTACTAAATATGAGACACCAGGATGCTCCTTTGCAGCTTCAGCTGTCAGGGATGGAATATCCTGTAAAATAACACAGAGCCTAATCCATTTTACCATGTTTGTCTTGATCATCCATACAGAGTTATTAAAAGTCGAAATTCAACTGCGCCCACTATATTCATATAGTTAATAATATATTATGTTGAGCTACCTGGTTCCAATGTCTTCCAGGAAAGAGGAAAAATGGGCTCACAATTACCCGATTGGCCCCTTGTAGAACACAGGAATTGAATGCAACATGAATTGATGGTTCCGCCAACTCCTAATCATTAAAAAATTCACAAATACATATACAATGAGAATTTCACCAACAAAATAGCATCAAGAAATGAACAAACAATGTTCACCTGAAAATTTAATCAACGAAAAAAAACCCAAAAAGAGTGAGAAATGTGTGCTTTTTATTTACTGTACCATATGAGCAGGCTCCACTATGGGGTACCCAGTTCTCTCTTTAAACATGGACACGAACTCATCTGAAATTCATATGAATTGTTCAAACTTCAAATTAACAAGCTTAAAAAGCCAAACTTTTTACACAACTATAAGCACTTTTGCAACGTTAAGGGAAAAAAAAAACCAAAATCTCAATCTTTGATTAGCTTACTTAGCATGAGATTTGATTCCTTGCGGCGCGAACCATGGTCGACGATGATGACGCCGTCTCTGTCACCAACCCCATTTGGATTTTGTCCGAATCCTCCATTGCCGCTACCCATACACAACCTTATGCTTGAATTTCTGCTTCTGGAGAAGTTGAGGACTGCGCAGCTAGGGCTTGTTCCGATTTCGCTTGCCGACGAGCTTTGATTGCGCAATAAAACAGAGTAAACAACAGTTCCCGAATACCCCAAACAACGAAAAACAAAATGTATAAACTCAAAAGATGATGCAGATTTGGAAGAAAAATGGAGGGTTTCGAGCTTTCTACCTTTTAGCGGTAATTTGAGGGCGGATGGATACCAACCTAATCGACATGTTTGGGGCTCTGAGCTTCAACGGTCCAGTTGGAGGCGATTATTATTGGGCTCGTAGAAATAATAGGTGCACAAAAAAAACCACCTTTCTACAGTATAGCCAAACGGCTTCAATATTTATTTTTTAAATACCGTATAGCCGCACGGCTCTACTCTTGTTTTAAAAAAAAATTTATAGCAGCCTGGCTGTACGATTTGTTTTATAAATACCTTTCTTTCAAACGTACAGCCCGGGGCTTTTTGTAAAGAGTATAGCCGTGCGGCTATACAAAAAGTATAGCCTTCTTGCCCCGAAATTGAAAGCGGATTTCCTGGACCTATTGATCCACTTAGCCCATAGAGCCCAGCCCGATTATTATTGTACTCGTAGAAATAAACGGTGCAAAAAAAAAAAAAAAAGAGTTTCACTAAAACACTCAAAATAGGGGTTGAAATTATAAAAAAACCCAAACACTATTTAAACATATAAACACACCCAAAATCCATCATTACACACACTCAAAACCCATTTATAAACACATCCAAAAAGTTGAATTTGGGGTTGATTTTGGGTGTGTTTCTATGTTTAAATAGTGCTTGGGTTTTTTTATAAATACATGTCTAGGATTGGGTTTATTTATAAATTTGTAAAAAAAAAATCACTTTTTTTCTAACGTATAGCCGGGCGGCTAGACTGTAAACCACGTTGGTTCAAATCCAAGGAGTAAAGGTTTTTTTTTTTTTTTTTGGTCTAAAAAATCCAAGGAGTAAAGGTTAGACTGGGTTTTATAAAACTTACCCATGTTTAAAGTTAAGTTTTATCTGTTATTAATTCCATAAGAATGAATGAAATGTTCAGATTATGCCGGGCAGTCTTAGAAAGGTGCATTCTCCAATGGAAGCTCTCCTAATGTTAATCACCATACACAGGTGAAACAGAAATTTCATCCCAGTTCAAGCGATGACATAAGAATCTCAAGTCGACAGGCTGCTCCAGCACATTTTGAAAATGTGAAGCAGCCTCAGAGGACCCTTCCGCCATCTCTGCTTACTGCAAGAGATAACATGTGTTGGTAATTTTTAACAACAATATTTAAACCTTGCAAGTGCACAAATCAAATGATAGTATAGTAAGCAAGCAAAGGTCATTCCCACAGAGATTGTAATGTAGAGAGATGTTTATCAATGTCACGCAACGAAAACACAAGGACTTCCACACACACGCCAACACCAAGGGGGGTTTTGATTTGATTTTGTGAATAAAACAAAATAAGGAAAACAAAACAAAACAGAATTTAAATTAGAGTTTAAGAGAAATTGGTTTATAATCAATCAAGAACAATAGCTAGGACTCACTATCCACCTCTAACCAATCAAT